GCTTTCCAATTTAGTCCATTTTTTTTTCTAATTAGTAAGAGCACTTGATTAGCACACCGTTTATTTTGTTAAGGTCCCTGGTCTCGGGATTTTCTTCACTTGATATTTTAAATATTAAACGCACAGAAAGGTTATTTTTAATTTTGATTAATACAACAAGTCATTTCTTAATGTACAAATTAAGTTAAACTACATATTATACTATCTACTTTTTCTCAAAAAAAAAAAAAAAAAAAAAAAAATACTATCTACTTCGATCCCCTTTACGTAAAGAGTCACTTTATCTTAACCTCTTGTAATTATGTGGTTTTAACCACGGAGCTATCCTACCTTTGAATTGATCGAATTGGTTGGACCATTTATGTTCGATCATGTTTTCAACATTATTCAATCTTGGTTAGGATACCTCATACATATAGATCTCTAACCGAAATTAATTTGGGTTATGTTAGGACATATTCTAAAAATATTTCAAAATAGTATAGCATGCATATGAGATACGGCTGGAGTACTATCTATATATGTGACTATTACTTTCGAACAAGCTAAGGGGAGTATAGTAACACTCTATTGATCCAGACTACACGGATTGATATCTAGGCAAAATCAATCGTAGCATGTGATGAATACACTATTAAGTTGCGACAAATCGATCAATTTGAGAGGGAAAACGGTGGAATTTATTGGCACCGAAAGTGACCCTTTTTTTTATCAAGGGTGGGAAGCTATGGAGAGTGACTGATTTCTGCATTAATTTACCTTTTTATATTATGACTGAAGATTAAATAAAATATAAACAATAAAATTAAAAAGTTCCACCAATTACTTAGTTTATTTATTTATTAAGGATTTAATATCAATAGATTGCATCAAGCATTTAATTTATGGAAATATACAAGTAATCAATTGTCTGATATTGCTTTATCATACTTGTATAAGCTAGCTACCAATATTTGCAACAACAAACCAAAAAAAAGGTATAAGCTACTACCAATAAAAAAAATAAACTAAATAGAGCTATAATCTAATTGTCACTTTTAATACGGAGTATAAAATCTTGTGTGGTGCGTCCCAGACATATTATTAGTTTATGGTGTGAAATACGAGTATTTATTTTTTGAGAGTTTAGAGAGCCACAAGGGCAAGATCTAAAGCTTTAACTAACTGAGCAATTCATCACTACTCTCACATACGAGTATTTACATGATGTTACTGGCAATGCATGATAGTCTTATAATTTTGTTGACCAAACCATTTGTATGAAGTGCTGACCAAGCCATTAGTATATCGTATGAAGTGCGGATAGTTTTATTGCCCAAGCCATGCATATATATGAATTAGGATAAATAATACAGAATCTTATTCAGTTGAGGCTATTAATGAACAATGAGTATTTAAATGGGATTATAATAAACTCTAAAAGTGGTTTGATAGTGATTTGATAACACTACTAATAAAAATACAAATGAGTTACTCTATTTTTTTTAAAGGTAAGATGAAAGACTCTACTAATCCAACATCACCTCTCACAAGTTAAGTCAGCCTAATTCAGCTCTACAGGTCAACATTTAAGGGTAGAGGGAGGAGATAAGGAAATCCCTCTACTCCCAAGCAAATGTAGTTGGTGAGGTTAATGAATTACTATTTACTAATAATGATATGATGAGAATATTAAATACATCACACTTCACACATCATCAAATTGAGTGTGTGATGATGCATCACTCGATAAACCAACCACGCTAATATAACCATATAGGATCATAATTAGGTTAGTCTTGTATGATGCACGGCTTTAATTATAATAAAAATAACTTGTAAGCGTGTAATATAAATATTTAGCAAAGCATAATAAATCGTGATCCCTCTCATTAGATTAATTGAGCTAAAATGAATTGAAAGAAATGATGTTAAATATTCTAATTAACTTCATAATTATAATCAAATTTTTAAAATGTAAGCATTCATATTTGATTCATTATAGAAAATTTGAAGCATTAATAAAGAGTGGAAAATCCAAACTCTACAATCACTAATAAAATGCATGAGATTGTCTTTAAAAAAAATTATTTAGGTGCGATAAAAAATGTGAAAGAGACCAACCGTTAATTATTTGTACTCCATAGGAATATAAATTGTTTATTTAGTCAATTTAGTCATAAAAGTTTTTAGAAAAATGTATAATTAATCAATCATCTTTCAAACAATAGTTTTACCTTGAAAAAGAAAAAAAAATGATAATAATAGTTTTGAAGGGAATTTTTTTTATAAGAAGCTGCCATGTGAATAATTATGATGTCAGCGGTAATTACTTTAATATATATTAGTCATTAAGTTTGTTTGCTAACTATAATTACAAAGTTATATAAGCTTTATTATATTGTACATTAGGCTTAGTTTATGTTAATATTGTTTATCTTGTACTTGTATTTAGTTAAGCCCGTACATGTTTACCCTAGGTCAATAGGTTGTATATAAGCGAAACATATGCCGTGAATAAGCAACACAATTAGCTTTCTTCATAAAAATACTTCGTACATATGTCAACCTATAAATTTTTACCGTATTGCCAACCGTATTGCCAACAAAATAATACAAATAATTTCATGATCAGTTTTTAGTATATTGATATAGTCAAAGCACTTCAAGTTGGCCTACATTATTATGTTCCCCTTATTTTCATTTATTCAGGTATAATTAGTATAAGATTTAATAAGTTTAGGTAAGTTTAGATAAATTCTGATAAGATAATATAAGGCTCCATTTACTTCACCTTATTTTTACTGAACTGAAATAATTTTTACCGAACTGAAATTAATTTTACTGAACTGAAATTATTTTTACTGATTGTTTATTATATTTCTTCTTTACAGTTACTGATTTTTGCTGAATTGAAATTAATTTTACTAAATTGGAATTATTTTTACTGGACTGAACTTATTTTTGTTGAACTGAAATTATTTTTACTGAATATTATTTTTTTAAGGTGAAGTGAACAGGGCATAAGTTCAAATAAGTGAATAGAACACATCCTAAAACTGCGTAGACATTTAACTTATGGTATGCTTGTATTGAAATAGGTTTTGAGGTTGTGTTCAACAAAAAATTAATTAAGATTGTATTGTCTATTTTTTTTCCTTCATATAATTGCTAGCTAGCTATATATGCCAATCACTTGATTTCAATCTATAGAGAGTTTATTGACAAATACTGAAATGCATCATCCGTTTCTCTCTACAAACAATATTTTGACTTACCCTGTCTCTATGTCATTGTCATTAGAAGTAACAGTGCAAGAAAAAGAAATGCAATTATGGCTATAAGTGGGACAAAGTGGCACTATCCATGGGTGAAGTCAATTGAGAACTGGGTCCTTCATGTTGCAAGTGGGAGTGGGTTTTGCATAGTTAGTAATGCATCCTAGTAAATATAAAGTGAAGTAAACTAAATTAATGAGAATACAATTTTCTTACAAAACAAAACGAGCAATCAAGGCAAAGCGATGGCCAAATTTAGCTCATAAATCAAGATTTATTTTAGGATTAAGCAAAGAAACAAGTGGTGGGCTAAAAACCTTGTCTAAATAAGGTGATCATGGAAACTACAAATCTGAAATTGTTCTACCATTTTGAAAAGTAAAAACCATGAAATTACAAACTTTGGTCTTATTGTAAGGGACATATTCCACTTAGCTAATAAAGGGTGTGTTCTATTCACCTGATTTTCACTATTCTGAACTTAACTAGATCTTATTTGAGCTTTACTGAACTTATTAAAACTTATTTATTTGTAATTTGAACTTGGATAACCTTATCAGACTTATTTTTATTAAACTGAACTTATTTTTCCTGAACTGAACTTATTTTAAGTTAACTAAACTTTATCTTAATTTATTAGAACTGAAATAAGTGAAAATAAAGTGAATAGAACGAGCTTTATTTTGTGCACTTCTATTGATTACTCCGGTTGATAAATGCTCTTTGCTTCTTTCCAAAAAAAATTGTTTATAATAATACTTCAATATTAATTTTATTTTTTTTATAATATTTTTTTTTTTTTTTTTTTTTTTTTTTTTGCAAATTTTAAATTTAAAAAAGTGAATATAGTTCATACTTTTTCAATGGGTCAAACATACATTTGTTGCACTTAAAATTGGTGAAGCAAATTATGTAACTCCTTCAACATTATAGGAGTTTTCAACAAATTCAGAAAATTTAGGACTAAATCATGAAATTTCATCCTATAATTTGGGTGTGAAGGATATTGTAACAGATACTCCTTCAAATTTAAAAGAACAAAATACTCTGAATACTTCCAATTGCCATGTTTCTTATCCATATTGCGTACATATATTTAACGATAAATATCTCTATTTTTTAATGATAAATATCTCTATTTAAATAATTATTGATATGTTAAAATTATAAAATGTTGATTTTTTTTTTACGAAAAAATGTTGACATTTTAAAAATATACACTAAGAGTAAATTAATGTAATCTACATAACTATGTTTTTTTTTTTGTTCTTATGTATGATGTATAAATTACAAATTTAGTCATAACAAAACTTATAAATAATACTACGAAGTATCAAAATTGTAAAAGTGTAATCCAATTTTTTATTTTGGAAAAGTGTTATGTAATTTAAAATACTGTAAAGAATTTTTTTTAACAATTATTATCATCCCAAAAATAAAATTTTAAAAAATTTCACCAGTAACACTTTCCTTTTTTTCCTCAGTCAACATATCCTTTTCAATTCAAACGCTACCACATTTTTAAAATTTTGCTTCAAGAAAACATTTTTAAAATTTAATTGTTTTTTATTTAAAAATTTACCAATCAGTAACTCTGTCTAGATTCAATTCTCTTTTTCATTTTACTGGTTGATTTTTTTTAAAAACCAAAACATTTGTCTAGGTACATTTATTAACTTCCCTTCCTAAAAAAGATGCACTTGTTAACTTCTCAGTTATCACACATCTCTTATCTATCCATACGACACTATCAACGTGACAACTAATTCCCAAACAAGCGAACACCAGTTTAAAACAAAAAATTGAGGACTACAACTACAAGTCGAGTAAATTAAAAACACAAGTGAGTTGAATTTTGAACTACTGTGAAATAGTGTGCTGCTCTCTTTTAAAGCAGCATCATTTCTGTCATTTTATATTTTGCTTTTTATATGAATGGATTAACATCATGTCCTTATTTCAGACTCAGTGATCAAGGCATGAGAGAGAGATAAAGACCTTCAAAACCCAAATTCTAGAGAGAGAAACTAGAGAGAGAAAGCTCTGAATTTTAAAACCCCTGTTTCATCAATGGAGTTGGAGTCTGAAAATTGGGTTTTCTGACTACCCTTTTCTTCCTTTCTTCAATTGATTGCCCATAAAAATTTAGGTGAGTATTTTAATTTTTTTAGTTTTAATTTATGGGTATTTTGTTTTCAAGATGCTATTTTTATGTAATTTTGGAAGTTTATTTCTTTAATTTGTTGAAAATTTTGAACTTTTGAATTTTTTTGAATGTTTTTAGGAAGTGGTTTGGTTATAAAATGGTGGAAAGGAGCGTTCTCTTACGGTTATTGTCTTATTGATACTCAAAATCCTCTTAATTAGTTTGATTAATAATTAAGAGATAAATATCAGAGTTTTTATATAAAAAAAAACGAAATTCATTTCAAGTTGAAGATAAACACAAACTGGTTATATAAGTAAATAAAAAAATAATTTGTTTTAGAATATATGCAAATACTAGTCTAATTTTTCAACTCTTCAATTTAAGGAGCCAAATTTCCTTTTAAGGTAATTTAATTATTAATTCTCCTAAAATGGAAAATTTTTCTAACAAAATTTATTTTGGTGTGATATATGATGTAGATTTTCCACTAAAATCCAGGGTAGTTTATGTGTTCTTGCTACCTGTCTAGGAACTTGAATTATTATGGATGTTTGTTACCTAAAATGCCTGATTTTGGAGATTTTTTCCATTTTTGGTTGTGTTGCTTTTCTGGCGTTTTACAGCTTTTTTTTCTTTTTTTTCTTTTCGGAGTTGTTATATTTTCTAGCATTTCATTTGCCAATTGGTTTGCTTTTTTGCTTTTTATAATTATAAATATTTGTATTAAGTAAAATTGCAATTGAAAAAATGCTCTAGACTTGAGTATTTTTTCCAAAAAATTTTGGAGTTAGTTCAGATTAATTGAGCATTTTTTTTATGGAGACAATGTTTTTTGCATGTAATTGTTGTTGATGAAGGTATTTCTTTCTGATAATCATGAATATAATGTCATTAATTTTTTTGCTTTGCTTTGATTTTTTTTTTTTTTTCATGATATATGAATATGTATTGGATGATTTGCAGGAGTACATACACTAGATGTGAGATGGATTTATCAGAAGCAACAAAAACTTTATTAGATAGAATTCAAAAGTTAGAACCTGAATTAGCCACAAAAATTATAGGATGTATTTTGATACAAGATCATGGTGAAAGGGAGATGATAAGATTAGCTTATGCTCCTGATAAGCTCATAGAAAATTTGGTACAGAAAACCAAACTTCAGCTAGGGTATCTCTCGAAACCCCCGGTTTCGACTTCCCTGTCTCCTCCCATTTCCATAAACCCTTCACCGGTTTCAGATGTTTCAATGAATTACATGCCTTTTTCACCCAATGGCTCTAGACCCTACTCATCTCCAACTGCATTCCCGGTTCGACAGGCACCCTACTGGGACATGCTGCAACCTGACCAACAATCTATTATGAGTTCCGAATTTCAGTCCTATGGAGATTCTATTGCAGATGATTTTTGTCTGCAGAATCAAGCTCAATTCATGGGGTTTGATGATCAATTGGATCCTATTAATGGTGGAGCGGGTTTTCCTGGTGATCTTTATTACTCTGATGCTGCATTGGGTAGCTTGAGGAGTCGTAGATCACCAAATTTGTCCGATTTGCCCATTAAAACCTGCCATTATTTCAACAAGGGTTATTGCAAGCACGGGGATAGTTGTCGTTATTTGAATGGACCGGATAGTTTCCAGCCACTTTTTAGCCCGAATGAACTCGGACTTGATGATCATATTTTTTCCCCTGGTTCTCTTGAAAAACTCGAGCTTGAGATTAGCGAGCTCTTGAAGTCAAGGAGGGGTAATCCGGTTTCTATTGCTTCGCTTCCAATGTTGTTTTATGAAAAGTATGGGAGGACACTTCAAGCTGATGGATACCTCACCGAGAGTCAGAGGCATGGTCGAGCTGGTTATAGCCTGACAAAGCTTCTTGCCCGATTGAAGAGAATACGGCTAATTGATAGGTACATTTATCTATTAATTCAAGCTTTCATTTACATGTACATGTCATGGCTAATTTATGTAACTTAAATATACTATGCAGACCACACGGGCAACATGCGGTGATCTTAACTGAAGATGCTTCAAAATACAATTTGGATAATCGGAGTGAAAGGAATGATCCAGGTCCAATAGTCAGTGGTTCTCGGCAAATATACTTGACATTTCCGGCGGAGAGTACATTCACCGAAGAGGATGTATCTAACTATTTTGGGTATATGTAGCTCCTAACTTTCGACTTTTGGAAATGCTTTATTTTATTGCTAGTATGGATTGTTATTTTTTGACTCATTTCTCTTGTTTGTAATTGTAGCACTTTCGGTGCTGTTGAAGATGTTAGGATCCCTTGCCAACAAAAGCGGATGTTTGGATTTGTGACCTTTGCAAGTGCGAATACTGTGAAGACTGTTTTGGCTAAAGGGAACCCTCATTTTGTTTGTGGATCTCGTGTGCTCGTTAAACCTTACCGGGAAAAATCAAAGCTTGTTGATAGGTAATTGTTTATTACCTTCAAATTATGATTTATAATTTGGTTTTGCAATTTAAAATTCATGTAATCTGATTCTCATATAATTATCACAGGAAGTACATGGAGAAAAATGAAAACGGTATGTTTTATCCTGGAAATTACTTGGAGCTAGAACCTGACTTCCACCATAGTAAGTGATGTAATGTAAATGGATTATAACAATGGGGCTGATATAAGATCTTTTTACTGAAATGCGGATTTCTTGTAAACTACACACATTTTTTTTTTTTTTTTTTTTTTTTTTGTATTCTTTGATTAGCACGATTCAAATTACAAACTATGCTAATGAACCTTAACATGCAGTGCCTAGATGCGAGGCCCCAAGGTTTCTAAGGAGGCAACTTATGGAAGAACAGAAGCAAGTTCTTGAAATGGAGAGAAGACGCCTCTCTGAATTGCAGTTTGGACGTAAAAATATGATCAATCGGCAATTCATTGGTCATGGCATGGATGAGCTAAATGCGTTTGAAGGTAAAACTTTTGCTTTTTTTAGCGTGAAAGAAAATTCAGAACGTTGATATTGTGTATCATATAAATTCTATTCTACATCCTTTGCTAACAATGAATATGTGGGTGCATGCTTCTGTGTTCTGACATCTACTTCTCTTCTGTTGCTTTGCAGATCATTTGAAAATCACAAGTTCTGAACAATATCGCTATCTGCTGGATGTTTTCAATAACTGTTCTTTAAGTAGTGGATCGAACCATCCAGGCACTGATTACATCGACCGAGAAAGGTATGCATCATATTAGTCTTTACACATTGATAAAACCATTTACCATTTATCGCCCTCTGTCCCTTAATAATGTTGACGACGTTTAGCTTTTTGCATGGAGATAAAGTGGGAAAGTATAGAGAATGAACTAGGTGTGTGATTGTCGGGGGTCAACTTTATAGAAATAATAGAGAGGAAAAGCTTGCTGGAAAGAGAGAATCAAATTATGTGTTCCCAAAATAAGTGTTTAATTTTTAATTAAGGGATAGAGAGTATTTCAGATTGTTCTGATTTCATTATCTGCTAGCAGCCAGGGGATTGATCTTCCTGAGAGCCCCTTTGCCTCAACAATGGGAAACGGCATTTCTACAGTCATCTAGATTTCCAGCAACACAGGAGATATATACTTATAGAGAAAAAGAAAAAGTAGGAATACTGCGATTCAATGGTTTGGCTTTGGTTCCCAATATAGAACAGTTTCATTTCTTTTGGTTATCTGCCGTTCCCAAGTCCTAGTTTGAAGTCCTTTTAGCGAAAGTACATAACAGAAAGGCTAAAAGAAAGACGATTATGATAAAAAAGAGGTCAAGTCAGAAGTCCGAAGCATCATCTCCTCCCTGTTGATTTAGGTAGAAGGAGTTTGAATAGAAAAAGAAGATTATGAATACACAAAATGGAGACGGCCATTTATGTAAGAAGGTTTGCACAGGTTTTTTTTTTTTTTTGCTTATTATGACAGAAGGTGAAAGAGGAATTTCGGAAATATCTCAGTAGAAAACAATGTAGTATTCTTATAGTCTTTTGGTAGAACAAGAAGAAAAAGAAAGAATCAGATAAACTTTTCCTAGGGTTTTTACTTATGCTTGGTGGTTTCGGAGAGGTAAAGATATGTTTGAATTCGTCTCCGAAGCCTCAGCAATAGATGCAAAATAACATTTTGACTAAAAGGAAGGGTTCTTATAAGCTCTTCACTTGCATATTACAACTGATGAATATTAGCTTCTATTAACTCAAATTTATATAGTACTTCATATTGTTTATATAGTGTTTCTCTAGTCATTCTTTGCTTAGGCCATTCCGTTTCTTTTCGAATTTGTCTAAACTTTTTTGTGCACAAATTTATCTTGTGACGTGTATAGAATGATCATATGCTTTTCTTCCTAGTAGCGTAATGGTTGGTGTTATTTTTGTTGATTGAACGCTTAGGGAGTTTGTGTGGATCCTAGTTAGATCAATGTCGACGTCCTCTTCCTCTTCTTTATCTTTAGTTTTCTAGTGTGATCGAGTACTATCTATAATGAAAAACGCTTTTTATAAAGTTACAGTTACATTTACACTTAGTGTAAGTAGAATATTTTTAATGTCATGTCACGTTGCTGATGAAGTGAATATGCGCATATTCATGTGTATATACTCTTTTTTGTTGATAATATTTGCACTATTATTGAAGTATGATACTAGCACAAAATAGATAAAGTATACATATGCATTGTCTTTGACTAAGGTTTGATATTGATGATTCCACATGAAAATGCCAAGTTGGGAGGGAACAAAGACATTGGAGCATACAATTTCCTAAGTAAATTTCTTTATGATATGGTTTTTGAAGATTTTATTGATTTTTGCATAAACAAAAGCAAAAGGTATCTGTGTCTCTCGTTTACTGTATCATTTATGCATCTTTTATCCTATAGTTTCGCCAACCAATTTTTAAAGGGTTTGTGATTGGTAGTGCCAATTCCAATGTTTTGACTGATTTTTCTCCTTACTTGGACCATTATGGGCAAAGTGTCTCTCTTTATTTTTAAATTGTTTGTTCCAGAGCTTCCACGAACCTCGTAGGAGTATTGTTATATTATATCCGTTTCACTAAGATTGTCTCATTTGATTTATATTGTTTTTTACAATAGTGATCAATGTGCGTGGGCAATTCTTGTAGGACAGTTAGTATTATAAAAATGATTTAATTTAGGTACCACTATGTCTTAAGTATTTTTTAGTGCATGGATAAATACATGTAAATACTTTCGAATATACTTTGTACTTAAAAAATATTCAGACAACTTTTCTTATTTTATTGATAAGACAATGGTACTCGAGTTGATTTATTTTTTGAAAGTTAATGACACTTTTTTGTGGAATTATTGAAACATGCTACTTCTAAATTACTATCTTATGCATTGTACCTTAATGGATTTTTTTTTTCTCTGTCAAAAAAGTTGGCTAAAGTACGATAACTTATAGAGGTAAGGTTGTGTATATCTAATCTAATCTCCTCAAAGTATTGAGGAAGCCTAATTTATTCGAAACAGTAATGATGACAGGTCGATAATATGAATGATTTGAAATTTATTAAGTGGGATGGACCATCTAAATAGTGGGGATATATAAACATGAAAAGCATATCTTGAATCAATCTTGTGATCTTATTTATCTACCTGTCCTTAGAGCATCTTTATTGGTGAACCCAAATAAATGGTTCATGGGTCACTATCACCATTTCTCTCTCATCCACATCAACCCAACAAATCATTTACAATATTCACTCTTAACAATGAACACTAAACAATGGTTCATCATCAATACTCCCTACCAACCTTATTTTATTTTTGTAAATATAATCTTTTTTGTTTCATAATTATAATTTATTAACCCGATGTCAATGTAATTAATTGACGTATTTAATATTTTAATCGTGATTACTAATTAAGAAATTATCGCATTTTTTTATCAGCTTTTTAAAAAACTAATTCTTGTGATTAATATTTTTTAAACAACAACGCAGCTAATTTTAATTAAAAAAAAAAAAAAAAGAGGTACAAATCGTGATTACAGTTCTACAACTATAATCTAGTACATTTTATTTAAAAAAAAAAAAAAACAACTACACATCGTTTTGTAAGATGTCCTTAGGGATAACCATTTGTTGTAAACCTAGTTGCCTACGTTTCGTTGTTACCAAATTTATTCCATATATGTTCGACCAAGTCGTTTTTTAGCTGCAAATGAGTCTGTTGATCCTCAATCTCTGTTCTACGAGACAAGTATAAGCCGATATCCACAATACGATCAGTACGGTACTCGGTAGTGTCCTCATTAGCGTTGCCTCCAGCATTCATAAACTCATTGGTATTAACGTTATTTTGATACGTCTCTCGTTCATCTTAAACGATCATATTATGTATTATGATGCATGCGAGCATGATATTGTGGAGTATGTCGGTATCCCACGCCAAAGACGACTTTTTAATAATGGCAAAACGAGCTTGAAGGACCCCAAATGCGCGTTCAACGTCTTTCCTTGCAGCATCCTGGTGTTTTGCGAATCGGCTGTTGAATGTTTCTAATTCCTTAAATGCTTGACTTGATGGAGCTTTACCCTTCAATCTCGACTTAGCCTTTTTAATACCTTCAGCACGAGCTACTCTCTCATCACCGACACCCACGCTGGTTGGTGTGGTAGGTGAGGAATTGTCACCCTCATCCCGTGTCCTCTTCCCACTACTTCCGCTCCCTACAGACTCATCCGTCAGTGGAGTTGAATGTGGACGTCCCACCGAAGGCTTGAATGTTTGTTGGTCCAAGAAAGACCGGAATTTGTCCCACTTCCTTAATTGGATCCATTCCTCGTAGAAGGTGAATCGTCCGAATGAGTTCTCATGGATTTTGTGGGCCTCTTGGATAACATCATCTTCGTTATAGCCACTTCCCTTTCGCTTTCGGGCCTTATCATAGCTTCCGCACCACTTTAACACGGCTTCAGAGATTCGCATCCACCTTCCCTTCAAACTACTAATAGTTCGTAGAGATATTTCATCTGCATTCGATTCCCTGGCAGCATCGTATGCGTCCAATACTCTCTTCCAAAATACACCCTTCTTTTGATTTGTGCCGATAATTATGTCGGTGCTGGTGTTCATGTACCCGGATATAAGAGCCGCAGTTTCTGATCGCGACCAACCTCTATTGTTTGAACCACCAACACGAAATTCCGGAGTTGATTGGAGTGGTTGATGTAACATTTGAGTGAAGTTTTGATGGGGAGAAGGAGTTTCATTTCCCTCACCATCATCCTCACATTCTTCATTTGCCTCATCTTCTTCAGATAAGTCATTGCTCGATTCCCAAATATTGGGATTCGGTTGTTGTGACGGAAAATAACCAGATGCAGCACCATATTCACCGTAACCCATTGGTATCATGGATGGATGTGGGAAATTTGAACTGCTTTGAGAAAAATTAAAATTTTGAGGGAAATTTGGTGGATTATTTGGGAAACTTGACTGGGGTATTTGAGGATAAACTCCAGAAAAATTATGGGGAATATTTGTGGGTGTTTGTGAAAAATTTGGGTGAATTGGAGGAAAATTGGCTTGATTCGGGATCATATTTTGACCCAAATTTTTTTTCTTCTTTCTATTTGTTTTGGGGTTGGTATTAGCATCCATAATTATAATTTATATTTGGAAAAAATAAAAATTTAATAATAATAATAATAACGACAATAATAATAAAAATAATAATAATAACGATAATAATAATAAAGGAAATAATAATAATAACGATAATAATAATAAAAATGATAATAATAACGATGATAATAATAATAATAATAATAATAATAATAATAATAATAATAATAATAATAATAATATTGGTAATTATAGAGGGGATTTTTGAAGAGAAAAATATAGTAGAAAGAAATGGATTTTCAAAGTTGAAGAAAGTATAGCAATATGGGTGTCTATTTATAGAGGGGAAAAAAAATAGAGCCGTTGGTAATTTTTTTTTTTTTTTATTTGTGTTTTGTAAAATATATCCGTTGCAAAATTACAACGGATTTATTTAAAACAGTGACACGTGTCAAGCAGCGGCTGGGCCAAGTGGCGCGCTCCCAGCCGCTGCTTTCTATTTTTTTTCCTGAAAAAAAAATAAAAATGGGTGGGGCCCACAATCCATAAATTCGTCCAAATGCTTGCAGCAGCAATCGATCCCACAACCATTCACTATGAACAATTATAGAGATCGCCATTAAGCCACCCATTCACTTGTTCACTCATTGTGAACTATTTTTTTGTTCACCCTTAAGGCTGCCCTTAGAACACATTATCCATCCAAATTCCTAACCACAAATATCCCAATTTTATCATGTGATAGCCAGAAGGATGTGCATGATACCTCTTTTTCTCCATGTGTGTGGAGCCCTTTTAACATCCAAGGACAAACATATTATGTTGCATAAATGTCTACAAAATATTGTTTTGGAATGAATGTCTCTAATACCATGAGCTCATTTGGTTAATAATACCAAGTATCTTCTTTTTTCGAATTAGCCCTCTGTAAGGGCAAGTCGTGCCTCTAATTCGTGTTATTTTTGTTGATATGTACAAATCTACGTTGTTCTACTTTTGAAGAATTTCGACTTTACGTCAATCAAATAAAGAGTGGACTATAATATGATGATGAGAAAGCAAAGGTATGATTGAATTTGAAGCACAAAAATGAAAAGAATCTCTAATACATTCCCCAGTAATGAGGGCTCATCACTAGGTGTTATGATAATGACTTTACAACTTCCTCAAATATGAAAGGACTGTCCTTAAGTGAGTGATTTCCGGAGAAAATTTTGATGTAAATTTTACAAATTACAGTATATGCTTTACAGCTGGAGCTATAATCTTAAAAAATTGGTTGTATTATCTAAAAAAGTATGTATAAATGTATAATCTCCTCCATTTTCCTTGTTATTTTTGGCAAAAAGGAACAAAAAAAGTGTCAAATTATCAACCTACTTCATGTGAGTTGTTTATGAGAGAGTAAGGATGTGACTTTTGAGCATGAAAGTTATTGATTGTCAATGGTTAGACTTGCTTCCTATATGGGGTAGCGATTGATGGGGTTCGAGTTATGTATGTTGAGGCTTTTAAGTAAGGTGATTTAGTCTGATTTTCTTAGGTTTGAGGTGATTGGCAACCGTAGTTGCTACTTTAGTCACTTTGCGCGAAATAGAACCTCAAGGGTATTATGATACGTAGTACAATTTAGGAAGTGTTACTTCATATGTTCAACCCAACGACCATTTAATCTATTATTCCGCGCGGCGCACCAATGTTTTCACTATATGATAGATCATTGCATAAATGTGACAGGACTCTTAAGAGTACATTTCAAAGGAAAATGGGAAGAAAAGCTAAATTAAGGCAGCTTTTCTTACAAGGCCAAAACAATTACGACTCTTTGATTTGTAACATGATAATCCAAAAGCTTTAATAAACGATATTGTTCCCAGTCTTCCCACTTTTTTTTTCTGCATGAGATAACCATTTTATGGCAAGAATGCCTTTTCTTTTAAGTATAAAGCTTCATCCATAAATTGACAGTTCCCTCTAGAAAATTTTCCTCCCATCTTATTCTAACCACTTATGCTATAGATAGAGATGAGTAGCTTCAGCGCCACGGTCAGCTCCTCCTCTCAAACAACATGATCAAATGAAAGGATTAACATCGTTAATGGTAACAATAACAATCATTGTAGTACTCCATAGAGCAGAGTAGTATCTATAACGACGTGAGTTGCATTGTAGGCCAACCTTGACCCAACCCTATATTCAATTGTAGAACTATGTCGCGAAGGCTACAACTGCGAATATATGAACTACTATTGTACTAATTGCACATCAACTGGTCACACTTTTAGGTTCAGTTTCTGGGAAGACAGTTGTTGCAACTACTACCACTGTAGTGACTGTGTTGTATGATGATCTTATGAACTAATCCTAACCTCCTAAATACTGTAATTGACAATGCTATTGTCTTTAAAGACTGAATGTGTAGTGTTGGTTTGAGTTTCAACTCTTCTTTGCCTGTTAACTAGTTTGATGATGTTTTCTCCATCTCTAGGTTTGTTCTCTATCACGGAATGTTTTTTCGGCTTTAATTCCATTTCTCATTACAAGTTCTTATCTTCGAAAAATGATATTAAGTTACGCACTCATACTCAACAAGTGCATCAATAGACTACAATCAATGACCTAGTCTCTCTAATCCCCATATCGCGTATGAGTAAAAGTCACCCCTTCGCCTATAATCATTGACAAAAAAAAAAAAAAAAATACTAACACATGTAATGTGGCTCAAACAATTTGGCCAAATGGTATCATTGAATCTACAGTCTACTTAAGTACAAAAATTACCTCATATTTGATTACTAGATGTGATCTATGACTCAAAGCTATAGCAAAACAAGTAGACTTCTTTTCAAACAGATTAAAACACACTGAACAAAGAAACAATGAGTAATGTTGAATTGAGATTTTGAAATAAAGTGTGTAAAATCAACTTTGATACAAAGGGAGTATGTTATAAAAGGGTAGGCTTAGTATCGATTTGTTGGTATAGCACTATAACATACAGTACTAGTATACATCATATTGTTTCTCCATATCAATTTAACAACCATTGCTTATCGTGTTCAACAAAATGCTGTGAACTTCAGTTACAAGTATATGATGTGTAATGACAAACAACATGCGCATAAGCTTTCTGAAACTAGATTACCATTGACAGGTAATGACAATTTTCAGCAAAATTTACCATCCGCTGCTGCTGTTAAGGTTTCATAACTCATGAGCCCCAAAAAGACATTTGTATGATAACTACGTATTGATTTTGTGCGCTGTTGTGATTACAGCTGAACTCAAGACCATTAAGACCTGCGATGAAGTGACCAAAAACAATGAGTAAAATGCAAAATAATTAGTAATAGTCTGAAAGGAAATTCACAAGAACTGCCCTATGGAATCTAGTATGGCATCCTGTATCAAAACTTGAAAATGTTTACAACCCTATGAAATAAATTTAGTATGGCATGTAGTTGAGAGCCACAATCAGTTAAATTAGAGGGATTTTTTTGGGAGGGAGGTGTTAAAGGGCAAAAGTGATTCTACAAGCACTTCATCAGAGATTATGAGGATTCATGAATAACCATTCGGTAAGCCAATAACAAATTCATAAATACTTAAAAACAATATCATGGGTAACTAACCTTGAAAGTATTGACCTCAAAAAATGGTCCTAGCAACACCACAGTTTGCTTGGAGATCACAGGAGCAACAAAATTTTATAACTCCCCTTCAGTCTATTGCAAATACACATACAAACAAGTTGGGAATCAGTGTAATTCCTGCAAAAATATAGCACAGTTACCTCCAGTAATTACCTTCCAAACAGAAAATCAGCAGGTAAGGTTATCTACAGAAGGGGTTAACATACCATGAGGTTATAAGGCAGAAAATAGTATGTACCAAAAATTTGACTATACAAGACTTCGAAATCAGTCATGATGAGAAGGCTCAACAACATGGTTAGTCCCATTTCCGTTAACTACCCAATTCAACCTTGCTTTTCATATTTCTTTGCGAACTCTTTGAGCATCATGCCCTGCCTGAATGCTATATACTTATCTACACTTGTACCTGCCCAATGCTGACAAAAGGATTCATCAGTCGGAACCAGAGAACTCAGAGGAAAGGGACCCTCTGGCGCTTTGTTCAGGTGAACCAGAAATCTATGCCGAGGACGAATTCTCTGTTCTAGTGACAAGCTAAGGTACGTGGGATATTTCGTCAATGATCTAACTTCATTTTGAAGTTCATTAACTAGATACTTGTACTTCGGCTTAAGATTTCGCTCCAGTGACAGAGAAAGTACCTACAAAAATACATGACAAACAACCATAAGATAGCAACATTCTTGACAAGAACATAATGAAATCTGAATATAAGGCAACCTGACATGCAATACTGCCCAGAGAAGACCTCAATAGTAAATCAATTCAAGGCTAGCACAATAATCATAAGAATGATCAGGTTTAAGAGATAGAGAAAAAGACCTGTGTGATGCTAGTCAAGACTTTCAAGATTTCTGGATCTTGCATCCCAATGCTCCTCAGAAAATTGATCCGGGGTAATAATCCATCTTCAATGCTGTAATGAAGAAGCTGGGGATGTTTAGTAACCATTTTCACAATACTTTCTTTTGGTGCTCCCAGCTCTTCTGAAAGGAAATCATAGCGGTCATTCCAAGAGATGTCAACCCGCTGAACAAGAATTTGAGGGCTCAAAGTCACAACTTTGCCTAAATCACTTTTCTTGATCCCAACCTCCTCAATCAAGTATCTTACAGTGGGCTTCAAGGAATTTTCAACACTATATGAAAAGATAGATGGAGCAACGGTGATTACTTGCCCTATCTTAGATTCAGGAATATCTAAATCCCCCAGAAACGCCACATGAGACTTCATATTGCTATCCACAGTATACCCAAGAAGTTGAGGTTGCCGTAATAGTATCTTTTTGATGTCGTTGTGTTTGACGCCAACATTCATCAAGTATTCCAGCCTTTCCCGTGCAGAAAAAACATTAATATGAAAAGCATTTGTGTGTCTTCTGTACATCTGAACAAAATGAGACTCTTTCATCCCAAAGGTGCTCAGATAATCAAGAAGGGGAATCCATCTAGTATCGAGTCTAAATTCCTCTGCTAACTGTGAATATTTTTTCTTTGGACCTTTTCTTCCTTCCCACTGCAATCAAAGGCAATAATGGAAGGCTCTTCAGTCCAAAGAGCAGCAATACATCCTCACACTGACACTTCAGAACATGATGAAAGCCTACCTTCCCTTTACCATCTGCTTGTGTGCCCACATTCCTTGTCTTTTTCCGGGTTCCTAGTAAGAGGATTACATGAGAATTGAACTCAAACTGGGACATATTGACGAAGGACTTCAAATCTTACCTGGTCTCAGCTTGGTAGCAGCCAGCAATTTAGATCTTTGTTCACCCCTATTCAGGTTTGCTGGTTCAGCAAATTCATCATCCTACAGGAATTTATTGAAACAATCATGTGACATTTTAATGTACAAGGCTATGAAAGTCTAACGGATACAGATTACGCATATTAAAAAATGTATACAACGTGCCATGATAGAAAAGTGTGTTAATAGTGGTTTCAACTACATAGGCATTTGGGAATATGGGTACGTGAAGCTAGTCAACTTCCTTAAATCCTGAAGCTTCCAAACTTTGATTATCCGATATCATTTATGCTACAATTTTATTTGGAGCCATCAGCACAATGAAGTACTTTCTAGATTTATTACTTTAAAATTTGAGTTTTCCATTTAACTAAATTAAATATTCCAAGACTACTATGTGGTATGACGGATTGATGAGGGATTAAAGTGGTTAGGGATAGTCAAGGTATCCCAACTGAATTTCTCATAGAAGACCCTAAATCAAATGTGACCTATCATTTACAAAGGAGTGAGGCAATTTAGCACCTAAAAATACCAACAATGTCAACATACAAACCCCTATGACAGAACACCATCGAGATCAAACTTTTGTATTGTACAAAGCATAGAAACTCGGAACGAGTAATAAAATCCACACCTTACCGTGGAATCATCATCCAATAGACACAAGCCCTCCCCTTATCTATATATAGATTGTCAATTAATATAGTGAAGGCAGTCCCTTCATCTTAGCTTCTGAAAACCTTCCTCATCATGATTCTCACTTTTCAGTGGAAATCATCAAGGCCGGACAAGTACTTAGCCCCCCCCCCCCCCCACCCCTCTCCCCCAATTGAACAGAATTAAGTTATTTCCGGGCCACAAACAGAATCCCTTAACACCACACCCCCCCCCCCCCCCCACTCTCTCCCAAACAACTACAAAGAGCTAAGATGAATATTATGATCAACCATTCCCATTTGTTGGAGCTTACTAAACAAAGGATGATACTTTGAATATAATGATGCTAGTTTGTCTCGGTTATCTGTTCATAGAAAATATTTAAATATCGGTCTTTTTTCTCAAAACTTGGTAAATGAGATAGGTTGGGTATTCACCCTATCAATATGTCAAATCAATGACAATGATTTATACAGTATACAGCCCTTATAAGAACCTACCCCTAAAGTGAAGATGTAAAGCTAAGCTAAACATACACTAATCAAGGCGTGATTTTGTCATAGAATTCCTAAACTAATACCAAATTAGGACACATGTTTGATGCAAAATTTCATTTCACAATTTTAAGTTTACACTAAATTTCTACTTAATTCATCATTCAGCCATTACTTCTACATCAAAACCCTGACAAAATCGATTTGTAGATTAATCTATCATTCCTAAGTTCAACAAAACTTACAGCTTCATCAAATTGAAAAAGACAGTACAAGATTAGCAATAATAAATCAAACAATAGCATAAAAAACAAAAAACTACAAAATTAAAATTTAATATACTTACATCATCATTCAACCAAGGAACACCATCATCATCATCAACATTATCAATCACAACACCAGAACATGAATTCGAATCTTCCAGAACCTCCACCTCATCATCATCTTCATCTTCTTCATCAGAATCGTACACAGGAAGCGGTTCGCCGAACGGAGAACGGCGATTCGGCTTCAAAAGCTTAGGGTTAGAATGAGCAGAAGGAGGAATAATTAGGCGGTGAAATTGGGGGCTGAAAATGAAGGGAGGTTCAACAATGGCGGGAGGAGAGAGAAAATGGAGGTAAGGAGAGGTAGAGGTGAGAGTGAAGTGAGAGAAAATCGCCATTGAAGGAAGCAAGAGAAGACAAAGAAAGAATATACGAAGATAAATTAGAAGCCCAAGAAAACTGGGAAGAAGGGATCTTTGGTAATGGAGGAAGTGGGGTTTAGAGAATCTGCTGGTTTATCTTCTTCTTCGTCTTCATTTTTTGTTGTTCTGTCTACCAGAAGTACAAGATAAGAGAACCCTCTGAGTTTTTTTTTTTTTTTTTTTTTTTTTTTTAAGTCTATGGTTAACACTGTGTTCGGATCGAAGGAATTGGAGGGAAAGGAGGAAAGGGAAATGGACGGAGTGAGTATCTTTTATTTGGATAGCAAACTAGTATTAAACTCGTGTGATGCACGACTGTTTATTGTATTGTACAATAATTTTTTATTTTGAAAAAAACACATTAATAAAGTAATATGGGATTTCAACATTATACATAATGGGTTCATACATATATTTTTTAATATATGAACATTACTATCGAAACTTATAGTAATAGGAAATATTATAACAATAGTGTTAGATTAGCATTTTTAAAGTACAAATCACTTAAAAGTCTGTCAAATTTAAACAATATGTCATCTATAATAGTTACAATTTAAACATTATTGTACATTTATACAGAAATCTTGTACTCCACAGTACAAATACATATAAGGCTACAAATTTTTTTTCTAATTTATTGTTTTGCAATATACATAAAATAGAAGAAACATGCTTATTACCTAAAGAGGATTTGTTTCCTAATTTGAACTTCACTCACTATTGGTTCACAAATGCCCTTTATGCAAATCAAACATAACAATTCTGTTAAATGTGGAAAACAAATTTTGATCATACTTAAGCAAAACTTTAAGTATGAATGCATAGTGAAATGGAAATAGAAAGGTAATTACTGTGGGTTTATGAACAATCGACTTCCCTTGAGGTAAAACATTGTTTTTGGTTTAGCTTTTCTATATTTATATTTATGAAAAAAAAGAACCGACACTATTTAAAATTCAAGAAGACTATTTTCTTTTGACATAGGATTTTTAAAAACTGCTTAATTTAAACCTGTAATGCACGGATTATATTTTTTGTTGAAAAAGTTTATTATTGAAGGTTGTTCAAGAAACCTTTGATTTAATAACTATTAAAAATTCAAGACTAAAAAAAAAACAAAAATAAAAATCAACAACTTAAAGATAAGCAATAAAACACAATGATTATAGTACCATTTCATTATAATACCCCATAACCAAAGCCATCTTTATCTATATTGTGCATTACCACAATATTTTACAATCATAAAAACTTGTTAACTAAATAAATTTGAGTTTCGTATGTGTATGTATAGGAGCAATTAATTAAAATTTAAAACATTGAATTGATATAGATTGAAGAATGACTTAAAATACTTGTACAAATGACATAGTATATGAATACATATTATGAATGTAGAAAATCACCAACTCCGTACAATAAATTCAAGAGAGGGAAATGTTATGAAAGATTGAAAAGGGAAAAAAGAGGGAAAAAACAATTCTTTATGAAAGAGACACTTGATAATAAAATATAACAAAGTATAATATACTTATTATGAATGTAGAAAATCACCAACTCCGTACAATAAATTCAAGAGAGGGAAATGTTATGAAAGATTAAAAAGGGAAGAAAGAGAAAAAAAAAAATTCTTTATGAAAGAGACACTTGATAATAAAATATAACAGAGTATATTATTCTAGCAAGAATCTAATGTACATACAAGATTATATACCATGAATATTATATTTTGAAGATTAAATCAAGGTATACTCTTGATATTGTCTTCCATAAATCTCACACGGATTAAATTAGGGCTAAAAAGATTTATATAAAAAAAATACAACAAATCTTAATGAAAATTAACACTGAATTTCTCATCAATTTTTAGAAGTAGAGGAATAAACGATCAATAATCCTTCAAATCCAAAACTAAAACATTGTCAACAAACTTTAAGAATATACCAATTTAAGAAGAAAAATTGAAAAGAAAGAAACCTGAAAAGTAGTTTGAATGGTAAATACTAAGCGACCGTCAGTCCATCACAACCAACTTGCAACTATTGGAACTCCCTGAAATTAAATGAACTAACCATTAGGATTTGAATACAACATTGAAAGAGAAACATAATGAACTTACTTAAAACTGATGGGGAGAAACTTAGTTGAAGACAAATTTGACTAAAGTTCAACTTTAATTTTCATGAGCAAAAAATACAATTTAAAATTTACATTGGGAAAAAATCACTGATTGTAAAGAGGGGGATTTGAGGAGAGAGAGGGATATGAGTTGTAAAATAAAAATATGTTTAGATTAGAGGAAGAATATTAAAAGAAGATAGGAGAAACTGCCTTTACGAAACAACATTATACTATGATAGAGAGAACTATTTTTTTAAAAGGCAAATTATAAAAAAAAAAATTAATGGTGAAAAATGAAAAAAAAAAATAAAAAAAAATGGAATGTGAATATGGCCACGTGGCACTCTAATTTGTTTGCAAAAGTTCACGTTATTAAATATTAGTATTGATATTGATATTGATATTGATTAAACTCTAATAATAATTCTACACATGTATTTCAAAAAGGCATGACTAATAAATTTTAAAATTTTGGATGGAAAAGATGTTTTATTGAATTTCTGTTTTATAATTTATTTTTTTATTTTTATGAAAAAATTATTTTCTTGAATAGGCATAATTAGGGGATTAAGATGGAAGAGATGTAAAAGAGATGTTTGATTATATTTCTATTGTAATTGTTTTTTTTTTATTTTTTTAAAAAAAATTATTTTGTTGAATAGGCATGATTAGGGGATTGGGATGGAAGAGATGTATGATTTTTTTTTTTAATTAAAATAATAGTATTGAGTAGAGATGAAGAGAATTGGAGGGGAGAGAAATGAAAGGATTAAATTATAAGAAAATTATCTCTCCAACTTGAAAGGAAAACTCATTATTCTTCCTTTCTTTTCCTTTCCCTTCCCTCCCCTTCGCCTCCCTCCCCTTCTTTTCCTTCCCTTACCTTTACCCAAACAAAATAAGTTTAGATCTACGCTATATTCCCTTGAGTATTACTCGTAAATAAGAGTACTTATACGGTAATCTTTCTCAATTATAGAGTACTCTCTCCGTATTTTAATAAGTGTTACAGTTTGATCAAATGCGCATGTCGCGACACGACTTTGACCATTAATTTATCTAATTATATATAAGAAAAATCATAGAAAATTTTATAATACTCCGTATGAAATTATACATTATAACAAATCCAACAATGCATTGTACAATAACATTTGTTTTTTTTTTATATATTAGTAAATTAATCCACTCAAAACCATTATGTGAATAGTGAAGAAAGTCAAACTGTAACACTTATTAAAACACGGAGGGAGTAATTTTGTCTTATGTCTAAGAATAGTAATTTTCTCGCATTTATTCTAGTTTGCTATAAGAGGCATTAGCATAGCAAGGTAATGAGTCACATTATAGTCCTCAATCATCTCCTTTATTTGCTTGAGAATTTGATTAAGTGACATAATTATACAGAAATATACTTGGCAAAAGATCCAAAGTGGGAGACATTGCTATATGCACCCGGGTGCACGGTGCACTCAGGTCTATATAAAATATTTCACCAAAGTGGCGAATGTAGAATATTTAGTGTGGAGTGCAGAGTGCTTGTATGAATACTCGAACCTAAGACTTTTTGCGCAAACTCAATGCATTACCACTATGACAAAGCTAATTTGATGTTATTTATTGCATTAAAATTGTATTTAACCTATAATTTTACACCTTTACCTAATTAAAAAATATGAAAAAATCAATTTTTGGAGGGGCCAGTGCCACCCAAGCCCCTTAATAGATCTGCCCCTGCCTTCAATACGATGTTGAGCTCATAGAGTGTAATGAGGACCTAGCAATATGTTGATCTCTAGTGTTGTTGTACTTTATTAGTTATCTTTAATCAGTTGAACTTATTTTGTTGAAACTTATGTTAATAAGTCGAGGAGAATGAAATCCAAATAAACTCAAACAAAATAAGTAATAGTAAGTTCATACATTATTCCTGTCAAATGAAATGTAACACTTTTTGTTAGGGAAATAATAAAGTTCACACATATACGAAGTATGTGAGTTTAGATAAAAAAAAAAAAGCTCATATAAATTTAGTTACGTCAAAGTAAGTCGAAGAAAACACTCTTTAAGAAAATACAATCTAAAAGGGTTAATAATTGAGATTGCATTTGCATGTAAAATTTTCGATCATTGACATATGTCAAACAATAAATTTTAAATTTTTTCAAAGTTAAACGTCAAATTTTGTAATGGTACTGTCCTTATCTTAGAGCATACAAAGTATATCATTAGAACCATATCCGGTTAAAAATCCTTATGATCTTAAATTCTACTAACATGATTAACATGCAGGTTCTACACCAACTCACTCATACTCAACCTAAATTGGTTAACTTAGGCCTAGGCTTTGTCCTACCCCATCCTATCCTAATGGGTCACAGTCGATTCGTGTTTATCAGTTTAGGAAGTATTTCAAATTTGAGTCATGTCTAATAATCTTATGTGCCCATGTTAATCAAATCCTAAAACAAGTCACTCTGATTTAAATTGAGATTTTTAGTCAAATCAATTTTTAATACCTCTAATTATGATTCATAATAAGAGTGCCAAAATCAATTTCTATGTTCACCAACAAAAAAAAAAAAAAAAAAAAAAAACAATACTCTTAGAAAAAAACCTTAAACGCTGTGTTTTACCAATTGGGCCAATTCCAATCCCAAAGGCTAAAAAAGGGCAAGTTTTACACCAGATCGTAGCAGCTAAAAGAGCAAACTTTAAGAGAGAGAGTGAACCAAATCTCAGTTGCCGGTGCTCCGATCACCAGAACACAGGGGAGAGAAAATGAACACCGACATCACAGCATCAACAAAGCCCGAATTTACAGTAGTCGATCGAAACCCACGTTTCACCAAAGTCGTCGGTAATTTCAGCTCCCTCGATTACCTCCGTTTCGTCACTATTACCGGCGTTTCAGTCACCGTTGGCTATTTATCCGGTAACCCACTTCAATTTTCTGCATTTTAATAATACCCATTTCCCAATTTTCAATCTTTTTGATTCAATTTTTCTGGGGTTTTTGTGATTTAGGGATTAAGCCTGGAATTAAGGGTCCTTCAATGGTGACGGGCGGGCTTATTGGGTTGATGGGCGGGTTCATGTATGCTTACCAGAACTCTGCTGGCAGACTCATGGGGTTCTTTCCTAATGATGATGAGGTAGCTAAGTACAAGAAGCAGCTTAATCAGTGATTTTTAATTTATGAAAATGGGAAATTTGTGGAATTTATGATATATTTTGGTCAGTTTTTAGGGGGATGTTTGCTTTAATTTTGCAATGATAATCAATCTCAACAACATTTTTGCTGGGGTTTTGAATGAAATAATGTTCCCAATTGTTGTCATACTGCAAACCCTTGTTCATTTTGAGATTATATATGATGAGGTGTGAATCTTATTTGAAGTGTTTATATTGATGAAAGTGAATGTTGCATTGGATTTTAACAGCTGGTTTGATTTACTTAGGAAATTTATAAAGTTGTGTGTGAATTTTGCTACTGGTTGGCAAATGTGGCTTGTAGAATTCGTGTTTTATTACATG